AGCCAGAGCCACTCCAGGAAGAAAGATCTGTCAGGAGACGCTGCGTTCTCACGTGGAGGTGCCCAGAGGCTGCTCCTCCAAGACCTGCCAGCTCTTTTTTTTCCTCCTGAAATACAACGTCTCCCCCGCCTCACCCAGCCCCAAGCCCCAGGGCGGAATGTAACATCTTGTAATGTGGCAATCACTGCCAAACCCGTCCCGGCCAGGGGAACTCCCGCCGGGGCCGTGGGGGGGGGGGCGGCTGGAGAGATTGGGCCTCCACCTTCGTCTGCACTGGTGTGCATAGGGTGCAGCCTGGGGGCAGCCTGCCCTGAAAATCCCAGGTGGGCAGGGAAGACCGGTCTGGGGGAGGCTTCCTTGGGGCTGCTATAGGTATCAAGACCCTATGAGAGACCGCCAGTCTCTGGAAAGCCCAGTCCCCCAGCGCGACACCCAGGCTAGCTGGCCACCCAAGGGCTTCTAGCACCGTGGAATCCAAAGTTGAATCTAAGAGCACTGTCTTTTAGGAGGAAGAGATCGGCATTTTCTTTCTGAAAAGGAGTCTTTGACCCTAAACAAGTTAAAGCCACTGGTGGTCGCTGTTCCAAGCAGATAAAGGAAACGGCTTGTGACTTTTGGGCGAGTGTTGGGGGCGCCTGGAATGAGGCAGTGGCGTCTGGGTTTTATACAATCCTTAAGAACGACTTTTTGAAAGGCATGGGGGCTTTCTGCTCCCTGGCTTCGTTCTCCTTGGGGAGACGGCTTCTAACAGAGGAGGGAACCGCTGGACCACTTCCGCGCTTCTTTCTCTACCCCCTCCCTGCCCCCAAGTCTTCTACCAGAGAACTGTTTGTAAACAAAGCTTCAGTCTTCCCGCGCTCTCTCCGCCCCCACTAAACCTGATACTTCCCCCAAGCTGGCCCCATCAGTCTCGGAAATCCTTACTCAGGACGGATATTCACAATTTTCACAAGTGATCCTGAAAGAAGGCCGAGGGGAAGCCTCCTAAATGGTACCACATTGCAGCAGGGCTGATTATGGCTCGGGATCCGTGCGCTCTCCTTTCTGCCCTCCTTAGCCCCAGAGCTCCCGGGTGGGAGGCGGGAATTTGGGGAAACCAGAGGGGTTCTGCGCCCAGCCCAGAGCCAMGAGGGGCAGAGGGGGCGGGGAGGGCCCGCGACCGAGTGTACGCAGGGGGGTGGGAGGGGAGGAAGACTCGGATGTGCCTTGGCTGCCCGCAGCTGGCACTAGAATTCAGTGCCAGCGCTTTGCCCAAGTGCAGAGAGTTCTGCCAGTGGGTGGAGCGGAGAGGGACCGGCGCCCCTCACTCTTCGCCCCCCCCCTCCTCCCCGCTTCCCAGCGCTTGTCATATCCTGTCTCTGGCCTGATATTTTACGCGGGCAAATGGAAGGGGATTACAATGAAGATTTATGTGTGTTCCGAGCGCGGCTGCTTTCCCAGTGTAGCGAGCCGAAATCACTGCTTCCCATTTCCATTTTTCATTCTTGCTTTGGGGAGCTCAGTTGAAAGCGGGGCGGGGGGAGCGTGTCTKCGCGGCGGCGGGCTGATCACAGGGCTTCGCGTCTCCGGGCGGGCCGGGAGACTGTGAGAAAGGCTTGCCAGCGCGTCGCCCCCGGCAGGGCTGGAGCCGGCCCCCGTCTCCTGGAGCCGGGCTTTGTTTCTCCTCTCGCCCACCCCTCCGCCTTCCCGCCCCCTCACTTCTTCGGCGCGGGCGAGTCCCGGCGATCTCTTCTCTTTGCCCTTTTCCTGGTCTGCGGAAACGCCCCTTTCCCCTGGCCCCTGCACCCTCCCGCCCTCGGCTTTGCGGACTCCCCAGGGAAAGGCGCGTGGTGGCCCAGCCCGACCCCGTTGCCGCCGGGTGCCAGGTTCGGTGACTCCGGCTAGTCTGTGGGGCCTCGGCCCACCCCTGAGAGGGGCCGCCCGCCCTCCCGGCTCCCAGGCTTGTCTCATGCCAAGGCCTGTTGCGTGATTCCAACTTGGGCTGACATTCCCTGCCCGGGGCGCTCCGGCGTAGGCCTCTTAATCATCTTGTCTACTGCAGATCCTCCACACCAGCCAATTTACTGCCCCGTCTCTCCCCGCTGGTTTCAGGAGGGGGGAGGGGAGTGCTCGTAAAGGAGGGGAGGGCACAGTCAACCGCAGGAGGAAGACTGGCACCAGCTACTGGCACTCAAACAACCCACGGAATTTGGAACTAGGGTGGGAGTGGGGGCACAGGGAAGTGGATCTGACAGGCAGCAGTTGCTTAGGGGAAGATCAGAATCCAGGGTCAATGGGTTTCAACTCTCTAGCTTGGGAAAACAATGCAGAAATGCAAAGGGACACTACATTGCGTAGCCTCCTTGTTTTTCCCCAGCCCCAACTCTTTGGACACTGTGGTAAAACAGACTTGGAGCAGTCTTCCAAATTAATCTGGCTAGAAAAGTCAGGGACCAGGATGATGCCACTGTACCCAGAAAGTCACCTCTGCCTTAACTTTGATTTTGGCAGAGATGAGTTGAAGACACGTAACATGGATGGCCTAAATAACCGAGAGTAGGGAGCTTGAATCTRGCAAGCAGGGTTCTCTGGCCTGTGCCCAACCTTCTCTCCAGTAGAGGCGGGTCCCTTGGAGGGAATGGCTGAGGTTCAAATCCTGTGTAGGAAGATGCTGGAGCTCTCCCAAAACCCTGGGATGCTGCTCTTCCACACAAGGTGAAGTTGGAAAGATCTCTAGGTAACTGTGGACATCATRATCACAGACAAAAGTAAAGCATCTGTGATTTGGGGCATTGTGATAAAACGGTAATGCTAAATAAGAAATAACTAAATTTTAGTGCTTATTGTATGCCAAGCACTGTTACATCATTGCCTTATTAAGGGCTCATTAAGTTGTTGCTCACAACAACTCTGAACCATAGCTGTTATTATTTCTACTATCTTATAGATGTGCAAACTGTAGAGGCTAAGAGGGTTGCCCAAGGTCACATAGTCAGTGATTGAAGCCAGCAAGCTCCTAACTGTAGGCCTCAGTACTTCCAGGGAAAGGGACTATTAGTTCAGGCCAGCATTACATCCCTACCTTTAACTTTTGCAGGGAATGCCAAAAAGTAGAGTCACTTCCAAACCTGGGAGCTGATTGTGTGGGCCCTTGGTAAACAGCAGAGCTGAATGGTGTGTGGACCTCTCCTCTCAGTGTGAGGTGCAGAATGCCACTCCCACAGCAGTGTGCATCACTGAGTGTGCATATGTAAGTATGTCAGCATGAATGTGAATGTGTACGCATGAATTTGTGTCAATGTTATGTGTACAAGTATTTGTGCATTACTGCATTTGTGCATACTGCACTACTGAGGAAGTTCGAGTGTGCCATTGTGTGTGCCTGTGTGCAASAGTGAGAGCATTGAATGTGACTGAGATTGTGTGCTTGTGTGTATGACTGTGTGCGGGTCGCCCTGCATTCCAGAGCAGCCAACCGTGCCTCCTGGAGGCGACTCAACAATTCTCGGCTCAACCAGCTCCCAAAGGGCCACCAGCATACAGAGGGGCGGGTCTAATGTGGGGGTCTGATCTTAGGCTGAAGCCGAACTCGGCCCGGGACAGCAGGTCCCCGGACACGGCTCGAGTGCACCGCCTGGCCTAGGTGGCGGACGCGGGGGCGGCTCAGACCGCCCAGGCACAGGGCCCAGGCGCCGGCGCCAGAGGGGCCAGGCGGGCGAGGCTGGAGCCGCCCAGCGCTGAGTGAGTCACGGCGCCGCGGGCTGGCTAACCCCGAGCCCGGACCCGGGCAGGGGCGGAGCTGAACCCTTTGCTGCGCCCGGCGAGAAGCGTGCCTGTCCTCCACTGGCCGCACCTCTCAGCGCTTGCAACCACCAAAAGGTGCAAAAGTYCGTCTCTGCTGACCGGGTTCGGGTCCTGGGCAGCAGCTGCCGCTCTGAGTGCATGACCGATGGAACCCCGGCACTCAAAATAAATACAAAAATAAAATAAGCAAAAATAAAAAATAAAAAACCCACACACTCTCCAATGAAAACAATAATTTATTTAAATAATCTCTTCATATTGTAAAATCAACATTAAGAGCATGTTGTTTTCATAATAAATAATCCCAAAATACCTTGCATTTAAAGAACAAAGACTTTAGGATAAGATAAAACAAATTCAAATCAGTAGCTTAATTTAACTGAGAGTTGTTTTTTTTTTTTTTTCAAAAAGAAACGGGGGGTTGCTGAGGTCACTGCTAAACCGCAGTTTTCACAACTGGGGGTTTACAAAAAAGGTGAAAAGATGAGGATTTTTACACAAATCAGTGGGAAATCTGCACAGACACCTTTATTTACAAACTCTGTGTCGAAGTCCAGGCTAATAATCCTGAATAAATTTTAAAAAAGATAATTTAAACACATTTTTGCAGTGTCCACATATTAAAAAATCATTTTCTCCAACATCAAAATGAGGTCATCCGCAAAGGCACCTAAACTTTTAAAAAAATAAAAATAAAAAAACTCCACTGGTGATGGATGAGGAGAGAGCTGAGGGAGCGTTGGTGGGGTGAGCTTTAGGTGGGAAGGGATTGGGGGCACCGGGGCTGGGAACAACCCCGCAGAAAAAAAAAAAAAAAAGCGGCGAGTCCGCCTGGGTCAAGGGGGCACGGGGTTGGGGGAAGGGCGGGCAGGCAGGACCCCGGGAGGTCAATAACCGAAGCGGACTGGAGCTGAGCCCGGAGGCGAACCAGGAGAAAGGAACCTCAGAGTGCCCGAGAAGCCTCGCGGGCGGGGGAGGCGTCCTTCTCCGGGACCCAGCACAAGCCCCGGGGCGATGAAGGCGCCGGACAGCCTCGCCAGGCGGAGAGGGCTAGGGAGGCGAGTCCGAGGAGGGGTTGGGAATGGCCGAGGCTCCGGGTTCAGGTCGGAAATGTGACCRTCGAGAGCGGCCTTCCCCATGCAGCTGTTAGGGTCCTCGGAGAGGAGCCCGCGAGGCGGGGAGAGGCCTCCCAGTTCTGCGCTGCTCCGTGGCTGACAGAGGGAGCAGCGCTTAGGGCGGGCCATCCTAGGCCGCAGCCTCAGGGACTGCTGGGTGGCGGCCGCTGGCCAGCGGGAGGGACCCACCGGCTGTGGAGGCAAGCCCTGGGAATCGCTGGTCTTGGCTCTGTCTCTGGAGCGGCCTCCGTGGGGTTAGAAAATCGTCCCTGCGCTCACCGGGGCGCCCCCTCCGCCGTGGTGATGATGGTGGTGGTGGTGAGGCTGCGGGGTCTGAGTGGGGTGCAGTAGAGGCGCTGTGGCCTGCAGGTGTGAGGCAGAGCCCGACGCCTGGTGATACCACGGGTAGTTGCCCAGAAAAGCCGAGGCTGCGCTGCTAGGACTGGAGCCTGAACTGCCCGCACCGCTGCCTCCGCTGCCCGGGCCGCCGCCGCCCCCCATCCGCTGAGGCGCGCCGAAGTCCCAGGAGGCCGGCGCCGAGACTGGAGGCGAGGCACACGGTGGCGAAGAGCTGGCCCCAGGGTGCTGCTCCGAGGGTATCTCCCCGCTTTTCCACATCTTTTTAAACTTTGATCKGCGGTTCTGGAACCAGATTTTGACCTTTGTGGAAAAAGGACCCARGCATTAATGGAGGGACTTGAGCAAGGAGCAGGGAGGGGAGGGAGCAAAGGAAGACCGCCGGTGGAGGTGGCTACTGAGCATCCTGTGCAAGTGAGCGAATTATTTGCGGCGGCCTCTGAGATTCTGTTGTGTCCTGCTCCATTAGGAGGCAATCTCAAAAAGCTAAGGATGTGCTGACTACAAGTGACTGAATGTGGTGCATAGTGGTGACAGCCGGAGGGTATCAGTAGAGCCGGTTATTTTACCCGCTTAATCAGTAGCGGGTCGACCAGTGTTACTAGATTTCTGCCTACCGCTGTCCCTTTCCTTGCCTCCCACGGGGCRATCCCTTGGGGATTTTCAGGTTTGGGCCTAGAAGTTTAGATTGCCCCATGTGCGAGCCTGGAAAAAATCTAAAACTACTTAAAATATACTCTAAAACAAACAAAACTTGTCCACTTCTAGAACAACCCAGGCCAGTGCCCTCCTCGCCACCGTGCGAGCCCCACCTGAGTCTGGGTGAGGCCCAGAGATGCCGCCAGCTCGGCTCGCTCCGGCAGCGCCAGATATTGAGTCTTTTGGAAACGCCGCTGAAGAGCCGCCAGCTGGAAACTGGAGTAGATAGTGCGGGGTTTCCGGACTTTCTTTGGCTTCCCATTCACTATTCGGATTTCAGGTTCGAGGTCTTCCTTCTCTGCAACGAAACGGAATCGTGAGAACCGCGCGGCCCAGGATTCTTGGTCGCCTAAAGGGTTCAGCGGGAACTTGAAAAGACCCGGGAGGCGGGTTTTTGGAGATGTTGCTTGGCTACCGGCGCAACTTCCCCGCGCCGCSGGCTGGCGCTGAACCTGGGAGCTGAACCCTTCAGGGAAGGGGAAGACAGGCACGCGCCAGAGAGTAAGAAGATGCAGATGGCAAGGAAATTCATTTAGTCGTAGGCATGCACCGTGTGCCCACTGGGCCTTTGAGGCTGCCGGGTCCCACCGTTCAGAACCGAGGGACTTAAACCTTGACTCACCGGGAGACTGGAAACTGGGTAGGGTAAAGGGCAGGAGCAGGCGGTGAGTACGTAATGTGGAAGGTCAGGGTTCCGGACGGCCCCTCTCCCCAAACATGTTTACCCCATCTATCCCAGTGACTAGACCGACTTAGCACCCTTGACACCAGCGTTATGCATACCAGGCTCGTTGTTCGCGGGGGACGAACTGGTCCCATAGGGCGCGTAAGAGGTGTAAGCAGCGGTGTAGCCCAGGTCGTAGCCGCTTTTGGCGGAGTAAGGGACATTGTTGAGGCCGCTGGCATGGTACTGGTAGGAGCCCATGTGCGCGTAGGGCGARGCCCCCCCGCCGCCGCCGCCCGCCGGGTGCTGTTGGTTGGTGTAGTAGCTGCTGTCGGTAGCTGTGGACACCGGAAGGGTTGGCGACTCCTGTGGCTTGTGGAGGCTGCTGGTGTTGCTGTTGCTGCCGCCGGGGCCCGCGCCGCCGCCGCTCGGGGGCTGCTGGTGCTGGTGGTACGTGCTGGAGGCCGTGATCTGGGTCGAGTGCATATCAGCCACCAGACTGTCAAAGACTCCAGTCATCCTGGCCCGGGACGGGAAAGAGCAGGGGTGGCGGTCGTGAGGGGGAATCGAGGCGCCTCCTCTGTCTCTCCCGGTCCCTTTCAGCAGCCAATGTAATTACTGGGAGGTGAAGTGGGGGGTGGGGGGAGAGGAAAACAAGAAATGAGGCAACGGTCTAGGCGCCTCCTCCTCTGGGGGAGGCTATCACCATGCGCTGCTTGGGACAGCTGCGGCGGGCCTCATACTCTCTCGGCCTCTCGGCCCTCTCGGCTCCTTGCCCAGCGCGGGCTCGGGCGGGGGGCGGGCAATGGAGGGGGCAGGGGTGACTGGGACCCGTCGGGCTCCGGGAGGCGGGAGCAGGTGAGCGGCCCGGAGCAGCTTTACGATTGTCTGCCAGGCCGGCTCCTGCAGGGTGGGCATTTAACACTTGTCACGTGAGCGCTAGCGACGTCACCTAGCAACAGCCAATCAGAAGAAACGAACCGTGGGGATCCAGGCACCCGAGAACTCACGGCCAGGGGTGGGGGCGGGTGTCACATGGCGGGCACTGTGGCTGCGGCGGCCGCCAGTGCGTGCAGGCAGCCACTGAAAGTGAGCAGAGACGCTAGGGAGTTGGGTGGGCGATGGGGGTGCAGGATGGCCCGCAGTAGGACAGAGGCGTGAAGTTAGAGACTGACATTTCACCCCAGAGGAAGAAGTGGGGTCTCCTATCCTATTCTGTGTGCAAAGGCCAATTCCAGTGATTTGTACCTTTCTGCCCGAGGTGGGTCGGTTTTCAAATATATTAATCAAATAAAGCAGTGCAGAGAGCCGGACCAGCAGTATCCCGCTTTTCCTGGCACTTGCTCTTGTCAGCCACTCAGCACTTGACAGTCAATTGATTTAAATTATCCATAAACCATGTATAATAATAACTACTTCCTAACCAACCCACGGGGATATTAGGACAATTAATTGGATAATATTTAAACGTTTTTTCCTTGTTGCTTGAGAGAAAAGCTATATAAACCCAAAGGTATTATTACTTTTCCTTGTACTTTCCTGACATGCTGAGGCTCTGAGTAATTATGTACATTTGATGGGTAATTGACACCCGGAAAGCGATCTCAGGGCTTCCTCTTTAGGGTGGAAAGACCAGCCAGACCAGATGGCCTTCAAAGTTCATTCTAACATCATTTAAATTCCACGTTTTTTACGGAGAAGGAAATGAAATAATCCTTAGGTGAGATTATAGATTTATCGTCTCAATACTAGATTCATCACGTCTTGCAACTTATAGCAAATACAAGTTTTATTTCATGCACTTAATTTAATCCTATTTTGTAGTTTTGCACTTTAGGATCCTGTTCTGCTCTATCATTGCACATACCCACCCCAACTCCCCCCTTTTTTTAGTCTTGGAGTTCCTCCTTTTATTTATTTATTTTTTAATTTTTAGTTGTAGATGGACACAGTGTCTTTAATTATATTTATATGGTGCCAAGGATCGAACCCAGTGCCTTCAACTCATGCTCTATCACTGAGCTACAAATCCAGCCCCCTCCTTTTATTTTTAAAAATCGAAATAGAAATTCCTCTCTATCTCCATATCCTGTTGGTTATGAACGAACGAACACACACACACACACACACACACACACACACACACACACATACACACACACACACACACACACACACACACAGGCCTTGCTGGACTTCCAAGTCTGAAAAATCCTGCGGAGGCCCCTGCTTTGTGGCGCCACCTGGTGGACCGCGTGTGAGGTTGCGATGGGTCGTGTAGACGAACTAATCACGCCCAGGCGCCAGTCTCTGAAACCCCCCAAAAGAACAAAATAGTAATTAAAAGCCACAAAATTGTGCTAGTGCGAACCATCTGAAGCACCCTTTCCTAGAGATATAACATGTCGCTGAAAGAACTTGTTACAACAACTGCCTAATGGAAAACAAGTTGATACTTTGAAAAATACGGTCTTTGGTCTCTTCCCCAGAAAAAGCAAGTGTGTAATTAAAACTCAAGCATTCACACAGAGGAATAACAAGGCAGGTAATGCGCCCTCCCATCTGCCTGGATTTAGTTATTTTGGTTAAGAAAAGATGGGGGAAAACGAGTTTAAATGCTTGCAACGGGATACACCACCAAGGGACCCCTAAAGCTGCACTCTGCTTGGTGGGTTCCCAGTTTAAATTCTTGATGTTTAGTACAGATTGTCCTTTGGTGTCTTGACTTAAAATCGTCGATGTCACTATTGTGGTAGCTGTTTTTATCTAATATAGAAGAAAATCTCCCTGAAAATGAAAATTTAAGAATGTAATGGCTGTCTTTCTTTTCTCTGCTTCTTTGTTCCTATCCCAAGCATGTCCTCTGGGCCTTTTCACTGTGGCAAATTTGTTGTATTTTATTTCTTTAGAAAACTCCACTAACAGCCTAAAGTCCAGGTCAGTTGAGATCTGGAAAATAGCATCTTTTTGGAATGAAATATGACCATAGCCCCCTTTATTTGGGGAAGTGGAAGACCAGAGGTAATGAGCAAGGGGAGGGGTGGAGAGGGAGAAAAGGAAAGGGAGAACTTAAACTGCATTTGGAGAATCAAGTAGAGACTTGAGGTATTAATTCTGACAATTCAGACAAAAATCTGGGTTTGCTGAAATTATCTGATCACTGCATCAGAATATCTACTTGATTTCCTTATTTTGGTCCAAAATCAAGAGTACCATACAGAATGGGTACTTATGTCCACAAAGTTTAGGGTGGGATGATGCCCAAGGGAGAGTTTAAATCAAGTCTGGGGAGAAATTCAGCTTCCTCCTCTGTTTCAGGGCACTCTTTCATCTTCTCTGTTTTCCTGAGAGCCCCACATTTTTTTTGGTTGTTATTTATTTTAACATTTGTTCTAATTAGTTATATGTGACAGTAGAATGCATTTTGACACATTGGAGCCCCACATTCTTTAACTCAGGAGGACCTAGAGAATGATGAGGGAATTAGGGGTTAGGTATCTTTGCTCCAGTTCTGTTTCAACTTCCCTATTAAGACTTTCCCTATTTTGATCCTGTTCCTAGCCTTGGTCTGGTCTGGGATTCTCCTTCCTCACCGCAATGGGAGTCTACCACCAACCTTTGTGCCAGGCAGGGACAGAATCATCATTCCATTTTACAGATGAACATGAGGCTCATGAGGACATGAAACATGAGGACAGAAACTACCTTTTTTTAAAGTTAGGTGAACCACCTTCCTAGCCCACCAGATGCCTTTATCTGTTGTACTGGGCAAAGCACGTGGGTATTTGCTGTAAGCCTTGGTTAAACAGCTCCCCATATCTACCAGCCCAAGATCTGGAAAGGGTAGGCAGGTAGGTCTACATCTTGCTTTCAAGCCACAGCCTCACTGCTGGCCTGGGTCAAGATTCCAGCTCTCAGTGCTTCATTCCTACTTGTCTATGTGGTGTAATCTGTTGCACAGAAGTCCAGCAGGTAGGGCTGCGGTGAGGAAAAGGGTGCTTCCAGCAGGGAGTGTGGGGTGCCCAATGTGTGCAGTGGGCCCAGGCCCATTCTCACTCGCCTATCCCACCGGAGATCCACACACCTGCTACTGGACTATCCCATGTCTCCCAGTCTGCCACTCTCATGGAGGATCCCTAGGATGGAGGTTTCCAGGCTTCTAGAGGCAATACTTGTTTTGGTACCATCCTTCATATTTACATTATCAATGTAATAGCTCTAAGAACCCAAGCTTTCAATTTCCTTTGGGGTTGGTCCTAGAACTCAAAGACTTTGGGAAAAGGCAGAGATTTGGTTTTTGAGAACTTCCTAGCTCTGCCTTTCTACCACCAAATTGAAGGTGATCCTGTTTTTCTGTCATTGGTCAGCAGCTTTTAGGAACAACTGTCCTTTTACATTGCTGTGTCCTTAATGCTTTTGAGCCTAATACAACCTAGAGGGACCCGGGAAACCATCAAGTTTCCACAAACTCTAAGACCCTTAGGTGGATATGATCCTTGACTCCCAGCTCCGTATCTTTGAGGGGGATATATATATATATATATATATATATATATATATATATATATATATATATAAAATTCAGCCAGAGGAGAGGACACAATGGAAAGTCACCAGAGAGAACTCTCCTGAGGGTGCGATTCCGCGATGACAGAGTGAGTGGTCCTCTGTTTCCCCTGTAGTCACCAGGGACATCCTCACCTCCCCTTTCAGCTCAGGGATTGTCTGGGATTTCCACATTCTTAGGGGGTCCCACGTTCTCCCCCTCCCCACCATTCCCTGTAAGCTAGAGACTCTCAGTCAGCCACTCCTGGTGCCAGGCGTTGTGTGCCAGGCGCTGGGGGGTCCTGACCTCCCTCCAGTGGTTTATTGGCTAATGAAGAAAGCAATTGCCAGCGTTTATTTATTGAGCACTTACTGAGCACCTGGCGTGCCGCCAAGCCCTTGTTACCTCACCGACTCCTGGGAATCCCCTAGGCGGTAGGTACAGAACCATCCCCGCTGAGGAAACCAAGGCTTAGAAGGAACCGCTTGCTTTACCGGTATGCAGCCGAGTCCGTATTCGAGCTCCGGTACGGGCCACAGAGACAAGATTGTTGTCGCTCGGGACTTTCTGCCCACGGATCGCTAGAGAAGGCTGCATCACCACCTCCCTTTTCTGGGCCTAGTGCTGCAAGTGCAGTGGGACAGATGGGAAGGGGCATCGGCCTTCCTAAGGTCCAGTGGCTCCCCGCACCCCCGGAGCTCCCGGAGCCGGAAGCGCAGGTTYTGTGGCGGGACCGGGAGGTGCGCGAGCTGTGCAGGAGATAGCACTGTAGCYACCCCGGGAAGATCCCCGAACAGAGACAGAAGAAAGCATACCTTCCCACCGCCAAGCCGAACTTCAGGGACCGAGGCTTCGTCCTGGTTGGGAATCTGTCCCTTTGCTCCCTGCCGGGGTGCGCCGAGCAAACCCCAGGAACTTGAACAAGAAGGAGCGGATAGTTCATGATCCCAGCCATGACCCCTCCATGGCACTGGATGGCCACTTCAGCATGCTTCTAGAACTCTCAGTACCAATTTTGCCATTTGCCTCCTAACTGATCAGAGTCAACCCTATTTCACTTAATTGTCGATTAAATGACGGAGTTCCCCAACCTCTGAGGCACTAAGCTTGTGGCCCAACCGTGGGATATGAACACATGGGCCCCAAACTCAGGGTATGGGTGGGCTAGCGTCGGAGGGAGGGAGGGAGGGAGAAAGGCGTTCTCCTTTGAGGACTAGAAGCAGCCAGATCTCGCAGTGCACAGTTGTGTGGTCTAGGAATGCAGAGAGAATGTTACCTTTCTCCCACCAAGTATAATGGCTCCAAATACTCAGACTGTTGGGAAGTTCATTTTGAATGTTCAGG